TCACCTGAAAAAGGCGCTGTCCGCTGTCAAAGAAGAAACTCTACCCGGTTTTGAGAAGGGAAACAGTGAAGCCCTTGATGAAGTTACTACCACTGATGTGACTGTTACTGATAATAGGATATTTCCTGTTGGAGCAGATGAACCCCACGTGAAGCAGAAGCCAACGAGACCAGTACGGAAGAAGATACGTCCCTTAAAATTAAGACTTTGTTGAATTTTAATTTTGTGTTCGTAAATTATGTACATTTAATTGAGTTATTGTTAATTATATGTGGGTATAATGTAAGTGGCTATTGTTCGGGACGAACAATACTAAGGAAGGGGCAGTGTTACGACAGCGGAAGTCACGTGACCCTGGTAACACGTGATTAGTATCTAGAAGGTTCCTGAAGAGGCTAGTGCGTTCTAGACGCCCTCTATTCTTGTATATAAGCGCGGCAAATAAAGCGATACAACTAATCAAATTATTTCTTCGGGAATAATTATTTTTAAATCTAAATAACTGCCAAGGAAAAACGAGACAATTAATTGGAATTGGATTGTGGATAGGGAGATACAGACACAGTTAATCGAGTGAAGCCGTAAGTAAAGTGTGTAAATCGTTGTGAATTATAGCGTGTGTTTAACTTAAAGTGACTGTAGAAATTAAGTTTATTGCAAAGTTGTATTGAGAAAGAATAAACTAGTTTTATTTAAGAAAGGACTTGTATCGCTAAAGTTCTTCGGAAAGAATTTTTACGGGAAATTAACAAACGACCAGATACGTAACAATACACAAGTTAGTATTAATTCATCTCTTTGTCGAATACAGGTCATACTTTATAAAGCCTAAAGGCTTAAATAATGTTAGGCCTAAAACAAGTGGACTTGTAGATTTCGTGTCTGCGATTAGAATTATTTTGTATTGTTCTAGGTATCCTGCATTTAAAAAAGTGCTGTTGCAATAAACAAATAAATTTAACTGCAAATGTTTTGCGGGTCTCCGATAGTATCACAGAAATGCACTAGAACGAGTCTTTAGTACACCACAGAACGCTTCTTGTGCATTTGGAAATATAAATATAATGAATCTTTCCTCAACATGCAACCTGTAACACACTGTTTGCAGGGACGATCAGGTGCCGTCAGACAGTTTCTGTAGAAATGTAGCTTTCCTGTTAAGCAAGCTAAACTGATCGATAATTTCTGAAGTAGGTTCATCCCCAAGATTCCATTGCCTGAACCAAGATTGAAAACAAACAATTTAGTCCCGAAAGTGATAGCACCAAGACAACCCCCTAGAATACCACACATTTGTTCCTAGTAGATCTAGGCATGTTTATTTAAACCACTTTTTTGTTTTCTAACAGATGTAAAAAAACATTAATATCTAAATGTACAATTGGTTTTTGTTTGATAAACATTTATTCGTGTTTCAGCCAATTCAGTAATTTAATGGTTAACACTGGTTAATAAGCACGTTTATGGTTGGTATTACATATGTCAGTTGATGCAATATTTGGGGCAGGTATTAACTGTTATGTTTGTTAAGCAATTCATCAAGAAAATAGTTAATTTATCAAAAATATATCACTTCTCATAATTTTTGCACACACACACACAAAGTATATCATTTACTTGTTTCAAGTGTTTGGTAAGTCTATAATCAAATACAAAAACCAAAGAAAAAAATTTTCACTGACCAAAAGATTTATTTAAGATAACAATAATTCTAAGTTGTTAAGAAAATATTTTCAATAACTATGCAAAATATCATTAAGACTTATAAACAATATGTTTAATATTATTCTGTTGAATGGCATGTACATAAATACTCTTAAGAAGCAAATATTATAGATATAGGTACAAGCCAAAATGAATTTTCAAGAACTAAAGTTTTGTTAATGATCAATCTTCTGCATATGTCAAAGTGGATAATATAAGAATATAATCTTGCCATGCACCTGTGACTTTAATATAAAATATATCACTTTACATATATCTAAAGTAACAATGGTCAATTCTTCACTGACTAGCTTTTAAAATACATATTTATTTTTCTACAACACTTATCACAAA